AACACTTTATTGTACGTTGTAGTAATGATTATATATACTTATCACCCGCTCGATTGATCGGTCAAGGTTGTAGCTAGCAACCGCAGGTGGGGATGTCAACCCCGTATAGATCTATACATACGTATCTCGCTCCGAGGACTAAAAGTTATAGTAGTGTAGGTATGCTAAGTGTTTAGACTTAACTAATGAATAGTGTCTCACTATAAAGCCCTTAACTAAGGTATGTGAATAAATCTCAGCCCTATCTTATATGTGGATAAGTTACTAGGCATAATGATTTGTATAAAGTTTATAAAAGCCAAGTATGTTTGGTATACACGTAAAATTGTAATATAATCACTTTTATAAAGAGGTACATTTCAAAGTAGTGATCATAAGTACATGTATATGTTCTAATTTATATATATATATATATATATATATATATATATATATATATATATATATATATATATATATACACACACACACACATACATGCATGGAGTGAGTTTGATCTTTGACTTACTACGAGGTGGTAATGTCACATATCATATATATATATATATATATATATATATATATATGTGTGTGTGTGTGTGTGTGTGTAATTTAAAGCCAAAATAGGAAAATTAATCTAGAATGTCGATTTTGTCCCTGTTTTAGAAAAATTCTACAAAAATCATTGGGATTCAGAATATTTATCCATAGATTCTCAAGGTTATAAATTGAGTCTACTTTGCCCCTAATTTTTTCTATGGCCTGATATGAAACCTAAATAAGGTGAAAATGATCATTTTTACAGTCTGGTCCGAAAAAGGACTACAATGATATGCAATTTTGCAAATATCATAATAAATTGTATAAAGATCATATGAACATGTGCGAGTAGTGGTTGAAAAGGTATCGATCTAATCTACTTGCATACAAAACATTTTTTCAAACTATATGGTTTAAGATGGGAAAAATAGGTCTTGAATGGACCACAATTTTTCACATAAAATCATAGCATTTTGTAGTATGTTTTTCAAGAGTGTTTTTGCATCAACGAAATATGTGAACACATGTATTCCCTCCCCCCCCCCTCCCCAAAGCATATAAAAACTATAAAAAGGGGTCGCAACACTCACCTTAGATACGTAAATTCGGTTTAGACTTGAGAATGTGATCGTGTTCCGGAAGCACCGCAAGACAGCACAAAATAGCAACGAATTTTGATCTGGTTGTTTGGGCTTAATACACACGAAACAAACAATAAAAATTCGAGACTTGGTTTTGGAGTTTTGACAGAAAAATGGCAGCAAGAGGTGGCAACCAAGTTTTGGTGGTTGCTCTACAAAATAGGGGGAAAAAGGGGTGGAGTAGTGGTGGTTCTCGGCGGTTGAAGGCACCTCCGGTGGGGGATTTTTGGACCGAGAAAAAGAGAGCAACGGAGAGGGAGTAAAGGAGATTGTTGGATGATGGGTTTGTGATAAATGAGGGAGGCAATGGCCTCTTATTATAGTGCATGAAGTCTCTCAAGGCCATGTAATGCCCATGCTTCAAAAGCTAGTCTAACACACAAACACAACCATGATTCTATGTAGGGGAAAGTGTGCACTCCAAGAGGAATGGTGGAAGAGGAGATGGGAGGGTAGGGACGTAATTAAGGGAGGGGGTTCGGATTCCCATGGCTGATTTTGATCACCTCTTGCAAGGATGGTGGGCCATGGTGATGTCACACATAGCAAAAAGTCCCAAAAATGCTTCTAGATTTGCATTCCAAAATCCTGATACCCAATATTTTTTTTTGAAAGTGGCGTATGATAGAGTAGAGTTCAAGGATTCCAAAAACCTGAACGGATTAATTTTTCTAATTGACCCGAAACGTCCGATTTTTCAACTTTTACAAATATTTTTACTAAAAAAATTTCAAGTATGGAATTAAATATTAGAATATAGTCTGAGTCCAAAAATCTCTCGGAATTTCCATTTGAGGTGTGCAAGTGCCTCAACGGATAGGAACGGTTTTAGCAGTTTTAAGAAAATGAGTGTATACTAGTTTGGTTTCTTATAACGGTCGTATCTTTTGCATATGAACTCCGTTTTGGATGTTCTTTATATTTTTGGAAACAGGTGAACATGTTGTATGAGACTAGAGTGTTTTCTTCACTCATAACTAGTTAATACGCAATTTCAGTTTTTCAGACGTATTAACCAGGGTTGCAGTTTGAGCTGTTTGATTCGTTTGAGATTTTACATAATTGGATGTAAGATACCATTTGATATCCTATAATAGTTGTAATGACACTATATTTTTCAAAATATGCATTAAATCTCAATAGGTCAGATTACAAAGAGGTTCGTGGTGAACTGATTGTCTATAGTTTTAGACATAATTTTTGGGATGTCATAGAGGTGTTTAATTGTTCTTTTAAAGTTGACTATGTGATGAAAAATATTTGATAATGTTGATGATTAATGTGTTAAGAAAGTGGCTTTATATTGTGGAAGAACTTTTTGTTAGTTCTAATAGACTCGTTGAGTGATTGCTAATGTTTGCAATAATGAAAATCAAACTAAAAGATGTATAAATGACTAATTCTTTGTCTTAAAATATAGAAATGAATATTTATAATGTACGAGCGAAAGAATAAACTAAAACAGAGTTTGTATTAGGAAGTTATGATCGTTTGAAGCTTCCGCTGAAAGTACACTACCTTATTATTTGGACCATGATCGTGTTAAGGAGACACGGGTTGTGTCTTATTATAGAAGTCTTAATAATATGTGGGAATAATTTTTAATGAAATAGGTTTTCTATTTTGAATACTTTTGGGTGGAACACGATTTGTGTCATCATGAACACGACCGTGGAGGTCCATAATTCACACTATAACATGTGATGTATGTGTCGGTTATAAACTTCTTATTTGAAACACACATCAGTTGGGATATGTTAAGGGGTGATTTTAGGAGTTCGCGATAAAGATTTTAAGCCAAATCCAAGGGAGTTCCAAGAGAATCCAAGAATCAAACTATATTACTTGGATTAAAGGTAATGTTTTCTTCCATATAAGCTTAGATGAATTTTGATGGTGAAATTGGAAAGGGTGATGAAACCTTACAACTTATATAACATGTAATTAAAGGAAATATTAGTGGCGTTCTTGTAACAGGCATGGTAAACATGTTTTCAACTGTTATTTGTCAAATTATGGTTGAATATATGAAATTGAAGATGATGATTCTAAAACCTAGTTTGGTGAACTACTAAATAAGTGAAGTTGAACTTATGTCTTGATGGATTAAGACAAATGGAGAAGTTAATAGTTAAGTATAAATGGTTTTAACAAATGAAATTAAGACCTATGAATATGGTGGAAGTATGGGATTAAGTTATGCAAAACTAGTTGTACCATAAGTAATGATATTCAAGTTAGTTTGTTGTTTTGACAAATTCTGGAACAAGAGCAGATATAGGGCTTCAAGAGCTAAAATTATGTTCTAATAAAACATCTAAAGGTGAGTAACCTTGTTGCCCACTTGGATAACTAATATCTAGCTATGTTGTTATTATTGTGTGGAGCAAAAAACATCTACTACAATAAATAATGATCTATTTTGTCATATTCTTAAGGTATGTGCTCATTGTTTTAAACGAATATAGTTAACTGTAAGCTTGTGTTTTATAAGGGTTAGTTACCAAAATGGGTTAAATGTGCATTTATTCAACAACGTTTTGTCAGATTCCCAATTTATGCAGAAAGTGTTTATTTAATTTAAATGAAATATACATCCACATTTTATTCTGAGACCAAAATATACAACATTATAACATTTACAGGATTACATGAATCCTGAAGGGCTGGCATTTGTTACATCTTTATTCATGCAACAATGTTCCACTTTTTTTACCATTTATACAACAATGTTTCAACTTTTTACCAATATATGCAACTGATGCTAATTATGCAACCATGTTTTACCCTGTTAAACACATTACCAATAAATATTGCATCTCTTGCTCCTAAAACAAAATTGTGTTGCATGTTTCGTATAAAATCCACCTTTTTTTCATAAATGCACATTTAACATTTACAAAAAAGGACTACTATACAATCTATACTTTAGGTCATTCACCATTCTAACACAATAACATGTACTATAGCTTATCCAACATGATAAATATATTTATCTCTATCTTCCACTCGAAAAAGAAAAGTTATGTTATCTACAAAGTATCCACCATCATATTCACAAATGCTTCTACTCTTTGCCTTTTTTCTACTCCTATGGGAAGTAAATGCACTTATGCTGTCTCACACCATTGAGGGGTACAGAAAACATGAGGAACATTTGATATCTGAGTTATGTCTATCGTCTGCCTTGAATACTATAATTCATAGTGGACTTGTATATAGGGTTGAACTTCAGCATCCAAAAAAGTGTGGTTGCTTGCCCTTTAGGATCCTTTCTATTACAACATTATACTTCCATTTAAGACATTGTACTTATAATTTTTTTCCTTATAAGGAAAATGTATTTTGAAAACCTGCTCAATTATTATGAAATTATGGAAGTATAATGCTATAACTTATAATAATAAAACATATAAATGAAAATGTATTGCTAATTCTTACAACCAACCCGTCAAGTTTCTCCTTCCATTTGCCTCCTAAGTCTAGTTTCATTTTCTCATATATATTTTATAAGTTTTAAACATGAATCGTTCTCACAACCTTTTTATCATTCTTTATCTATTTACATGTTTTGTTGTTTGACACTCAGAATTGGAAATGTGCTAAAAGGTGAAATAAAAACATGCTAACGTACTGCTAAAGAAATGGATGTTTTGGTGGCATAGGCAGAGGAAAGAATTAATGAAGAAATGTGAAATAGTTGGGGTCTCACATATATATATAGATATATATAGATATAGAGATATATAGATAGATAGATATAGATATAGATATATATATAGATAGATATATATATATATATCGAGATATATACTATTCATCCTTCCCATCCATTACCCCATGCGAAGCATAAGGACCCTTCTAGATTACCTTAAAGGTTATCAAATTTCTCCTATATATACGTATTAAATTGTTTTACTTTTAATGCTAACTTTTTAAATTTTATCCTAATACACTTAATTTATCCATTTAAATATAGTACTCAATATAAAACATTATCATTTTAATTATACAACTTTTTAAATTACTAATATAATATACTTAATTTGTTAATTTAAACAAAATGGTAAATACAAAACTTAAATAAAAAATTCAAATGTACTTAAAAATGTTAAAATACCATTTTAATAACTAAAAAAGATATCTATATATATATATATATATATATCTATATATATATATATATATATATATATAACCTAATTTAACCTATTTTAAAATGCCAAATTAACTAAAAATTTATCCAAAAATTATTTTTTTATGATGAAAAGTTTCTAAATAAATAATTTTTGTATTAAAAAAGAATAGTAATAGTTAAAAATAATGTTATATTAAAAAATATAATAAATCACAATAAAAACATCATTTGTTTTTTGAAATGCATCATGATTAAATTCATAAAATGTTAAATAATTTATTTTTAAACTAACCACAATATTATGTGTTATACATATCGTATAGTTTGTAGAATGCTAATGTTGTCTATTAGCTACGTTAGGATCATAATGTTGTCTAGGGCGTCACCACTTAACCTTTTATTGTGTGAAAATAATAATGATTTTTGATACTGTTCGTCAAACATTCCTAGTGTTAAGAGATATATTTTACATCCTAGGGGGACTATAAGTGGAGATATCGTTGTTTCTCGTAAAGAAGTTCCTATAAAAATAAGAAATGTTCTACCTTTTAGTGTGGTTTAAACTATTGATTTACATAATTGATTAGAGACATGTGGTGGCGAACCCTTTATTTTTCCTTTGATATTTGACGTATGTTATGATTACACGTGGCAGTGTTTTTATAAAGTTTTCGTAAATTTAAAGATTTTAAGAATTATATAACTGAGTTTAACAAAATAGCATGTTAGCAATATTCTTTTAAGGAATTTTTATGATTTGAATAATTTATAATTACTTTAATAACTAACAAATGACACGTATAAGAGGATTATTATAGTTTAGATATTTATAGAATTTAATTAAATTAATTATATTGTTTTCATTTGTAATTGGTTATCATTAATTAGAGCTAACGAAGTAATTACTTTAATAACTAACAAAATAAATAAATAAATAACATATAATACAATTGTTATAATTTAAATATTTATATAATTAAATTAAATTAATTACATTATTTTATTTGTATATTGTTTATCATTAATCAGAGATTATACTTAATAATCTCAACAAGTAATTTTTTTAAATAAAAATAACTCAAATTAATTTTTTTTAAATTCATTATTCAAAGAAAAAATGTTCTATAAATTCTGTTGTCCATGCCTTCAAGTTGAAACGAAGGGTAGTTTAGAGTTTAGACTTTAGACTTTAGGATGGTCCATGAACTGATGAAAGAGAACATATTCACGTGAAAGATCGATTTGGTGTCAATTTCGTAATTGCTTTTAGTATCCCTATTTATGTTTTCAATCTTCAACTAATTTATTTAATCGATTTATTGCGACTCGTGCTTGACGTACTGTTGAATCAGTGGTGGATGATGAGTAGCTTATTCCTGTCGTCATAGTTGGGGCACTCATGTTGCCATCATCAATTTGATAAGCACATATTCTAATTATCTGACATCATTGTTTTCAATTTTGAGAGGTAATTGCTCATGACGAACTTGATTCTAGTTGCTTTATTTATTTCGATTTCCATTTTGATTTTGATTACTTTTAAATGTCATTTCACTGCTATATATACCAGCGAAGTGAGTTGCGGAGTTATCGGAGTGAAGAACAGGTTTTCTACTGTCGCTCCGACACTCTCCTCTGATCTCCGGCATTTCTTCAGTCGACGATCCGGTAAACTTTACTTCGATTATCAGATATGATCGACATTCAGATTTCAATTCCTTGTTTTGCTTTTTATTTTTCAATTTTTAGATTGAATTTGTTGATCGATCATCTGCATGCGAATTGATTTTGGTGAATCTGTAGCTTAATTTAACTTTAGAAACGTGATTGCTCCGATGGAGGTAGCATGAGTCTGTTCCGGTAGGGTTTTTCCGTTTTCGTTTCTCCTCGTTTGCAGTAGTAAATTGGGGGTTTTGGCACCATGAATGATCCTGTGAACATTCGGGTCGGATTGTGGGTTGGATCATTTGGGCTTAAATAGTTTTTCTTTTTTGGACCAATTGGGCTTGGATTTCTTTTTCTTAATTGGAGCATTTTTCTGCAAGTGTCTGGATTTTGACCAATTAGAATTTACCTTTTCATGCATATACAATTCTACATCCTAAATCGGATAAAATTGTTAATAATTTGGTTCGTTCTGTGTTATTATTATTATTTATTTATTTTTAAGTCAGAATTGGGATAAAAAATTACAAATTTTATAATTTTATTATTTCTATATAAAAAAAAATATCAATGAAGATCATGGGTAATCTAGTAACTGATAAAATTTCCCCTTCATGCACGAAAATATTCTTAGGGTTAATTTTTGCAGCAAATTGTTTCGTACATTTCTTTAATTTATGTGTTGTATCTCTTAAATAAAATTATCTCTCTTTTTTTTTGTTTAATTTAGGAAGAGATAATCTTAGATCTAACCATGTGTTCTGATCCGAAAAACATTCTTAATATCTATAAAAGTGTTAGTCATTAGAGATTCAAATACTAGTCATATATTTAATTGGAAGTCAATTTATAATTTACACTCATTTTTGTAATTTCCATTTTCACATCTCCAAATTAATTATAACCTTTGCATTTTCGAAAACCTCAAAAATCATAATTCACAATGACCTCATTGGTTATTAGTAGCGATTTGATAACATTTTAATGTAATTCGGAAGTAAAATTGCTTTTTGAAATGAAGTTTAAATCTTCCATTTTATTTACGTGTACACATTTTCACATGACGTGTACAATACAACTTCTAAAGCATAAAGTACAAATTTTAATACGTTTAATGAAGCATATACCTCAATCTTGACTAATTGGGTTTTTAACATCGTCACCATGTCATATGTTTATCCAAATGTAAAATGACCATTTTGCCCATGGTGGCTCATATCAGTCGTTGAGAGCTAAGAGGATAGCGATGGCTTTTGTAGTTGTGTGGCTTGGTTTGACTATATCCATACGCGGCATGTTGACAATGCTTCTCACATTTCCATCCTAATCAAATTAGTGTTTTAAATTATTATATGTTGTTATAAATAATTTATATTTTTTAAAATATTTATAAAGAAAAACACATGGGTCGATACTCGACAAAGATGTGCAATTTTGAATGTATTCATGAAACGTGGATCTTACCTCTTCCAGCTTAACATGTTTTCAACATTTTGTATTTTACATTGTCAAGAAAAATGGAAAATACAACTTTTTTTTTAATATTTGGTTGAAGATATTAATGACATTAACTATCATGTGTCAGTTAATTTTGCTTTTATTAAAAGGATACTTTAGGATCCGATGATCATTCGTCAGAAAAAATCTATTTATTTATAAATATTTACATAATTTAAGCAGCCTTTAATAGAAATAAATGTTATTAAAACAAAAAAAAATTAATTTGAAGAGGATTTTATGGATAGATGTTGACTTCCCCACCCTAGTCATGACCTGTCCGGACAACTATGCATTGCACCATTTCAAATATTAATTAATTTTAAACGCCACATCATTTTCGCATTTATTTTTTCGAGTGTTTAATACAGTAATTTATAAATTTAATATCGATAATCCCTTTTCTCTTTTGCTTAAACAAATGCATAAATTTAACAAGATACATTGCACCAAACAGTTATCGTTTTTAATGTGGTAACAATTAACACAAACCCCAAATCACAATCTCAATACAAAATAATGAAAAGCTTAAATATACACAATCAAAATCAAACCTTTTTTTTATAAAGGTCCAATTTATTACAGAGATACACAAATATATTTTTCCAATTTTATTTCAGAAAAAACTGCCGGAATAAAAGAAAATTTTGTCCACGTGTACATTTAATAAAATAAAGCTGGCTATTGCAGATCTTGAAAGAAACACTTTTTTTCTCCGAGTATCCTTCCTCGAAATAGACTCTTCTTCTTTAAACACCCAATTAACTCATGCATGACAACATAAATTTATATATCTTTTTGTTCCCATTATAAAAAAAGTCCGTATATTTATAGTATATATATACAAATCCCTTAGTGCTACCTTTCAATTATTCGTATTAATCCCCTTTGTTTTCTCAAACATAATTCAACTTATTTTCTCTTAACATTCTTCTTTCATTAGACAAAAAAAAAAATGAACGCTTTAGCAGCAACAAATCGTAACTTCAAGCTCGCAGCTCGTCTGTTGGGTTTAGACTCCAAACTCGAAAAGAGTCTCCTCATTCCATTTAGGGAAATCAAGGTTCAATTTTTTTATTATTTTTTAATTTATTAATTTCGATTGTTGATTTTTTACTTACGAAATCAAGAATCTTTATAGGTCGAGTGTACAATACCAAAAGACGATGGTAGTTTGGTGTCTTACGTCGGATTCAGGGTTCAACATGACAATGCTCGTGGGCCAATGAAAGGGGGAATCAGATACCACCCAGAGGTGCGTCTTTTTAACGATTTAGTAATCGAATTTATAATTTATGTTTATCGATATGGATTAATTTTGTGAATTTGTTAAAAAGGTTGATCCAGATGAGGTTAACGCTTTAGCGCAACTGATGACGTGGAAGACGGCGGTGGCGAATATTCCGTATGGTGGTGCGAAAGGTGGAATCGGATGTAATCCGGCGGAATTGAGTATTTCCGAATTGGAAAGATTAACTAGAGTTTTTACTCAAAAGATTCATGATTTGATTGGAATCCACACCGATGTTCCTGCTCCTGATATGGGAACTAATCCCCAGGTTTGTTTTTTTATTCATTGAAGTTTAAAATTTTATAAATTATACCTTACAAAAATGATTTATGATTATTGTATTTTGTAATTTGAAATTTGAAATTTGAACAGACAATGGCTTGGATTTTAGATGAATACTCCAAATTCCATGGATACTCCCCTGCTGTTGTTACTGGAAAACCTATTGTAAGCCCTGTTTCCTTTTTTCCTTGAATTTCAAAACTACCCTTTTTATCAGGAATCTGAGTTACATACATTTTACATTTTACTTTACATTTAAAATTGATTGAATCATTCTGTGTGAAACTTTTTATTTGGAAACACATGTTTTGTTTGTCGATTTTGGCAATTCCGACGGAATCGGAATATGAGATCTCATTCCATGGCGTGTTTGGTTGCCAAGTGGACAGAATTTAGTTCCATTCTTCCTAAAAGACCAAAATACCCTCAACATGTGTATTGAAACAACTCAATAAGTTTGAACTATATTCCATTTCCTTCTATATTCCAATTCCTTAGATAGATTCCATTCCTTCCAAAATCATTAAACGAACCAAATGCTCTCTAATGATTCCATTCCTTCCAAAATCATTACAGGATCTTGGTGGATCATTGGGTAGAGATGCTGCAACTGGAAGAGGAGTACTTTTTGCAACAGAAGCCCTTCTTAATGACCACGGAATGAGTGTTTCCGGTCAACGGTTTGTCATACAGGTATATGTCATACATACATATAAACAAGCATACATATTCTGATTCCATTCTGGTGTCTCAGGGATTCGGAAACGTTGGTTCGTGGGCTGCTCAACTGATTCACGAAGCGGGTGGAAAAGTTGTAGCAGTGAGTGATATAAGTGGAGCAATACATAACAAGAATGGAATTGACATTCCAACCCTAATGAAACATGTCAAGGAACACAAAGGAGTAAAAGGCTTTGGTGGTGCAAATGCAATAGATTCCAATTCCATTCTTGTTGAAGATTGTGATATTCTCATTCCAGCTGCCCTTGGTGGTGTAATCAACAGGTTCTTTAGGAAACCAGCTTTTTCATCAAATTTATAATATATATAATGTTGATCAGTGAATTAATTTAATTCTAATATTTGATAATAAAGGGAAAATGCGAATGAGATTAAGGCGAAATTCATAATTGAAGCAGCTAATCATCCTACTGATCCTGAAGCCGATGAGATTTTAACAAAGAAAGGCGTTGTTATCCTCCCTGATATATTTGCAAATTCAGGAGGTGTAACTGTTAGTTATTTTGAATGGGTTCAGGTAAATCTTCAAAACTAAATTTTACATTTTTGGTCCCTGGTTTTAGCCGATTTTCTGATTTTGGTCCTTAAAGGATGTGCTTTGCAGTTTTGGTCGTTATTTTCATGTTACCTAACAATTTTGATATCTAAGTATCTAACTACTCAGCTGTTAACCTTTTTTAAATGACCATTTTGCCCTTTGAGAAAACGAATCCCCAAAACTGTGCGTTTCTTACAAAAACATTTTGAGAACAAAATTTGTTGTTTTCTCTTACTTTTTAGTTAAGGTTTATCATAGTATACTACGTTTTTCCGAATTTGGTCTTTGTGGTCCAAGGGCAAAATGGTCATTTTAAAAAAGTAACACCTTAGTGTTGAAATTTAACGTTCATGGGCCACAATATCAGTGGAACATCAAAATTGTGAACAGATTCCTTAAACCCAAAAAATCTCCTAAACTCATTGACCAAAAATTTAGTGTAAGTTACATTTTGGTCCCTGAGTATAGCTTATTCTTTCAATTGTGGTCCCAAAAAGTTATTTCTTGCAATTTTGGTCCTTATGTAAGGTTCTTGTAACGTTTTTGGTACCCAGAGTATAGTTAATTTCTGCAATTTTGATCCCAAAAATAGGCATTTTTACATGCAACAGTGACCAAAAATGTAATTTATTCAGAATAATAATAGTAAAGTGAAGAAAATGGTTTTATGATACAGAATATTCAAGGGTTTATGTGGGATGAAGCGAAAGTGAACACAGAGTTAAAGAAATATATTGTGCAAGGTTTTAAAGATGTGAAGGAGATGTGTAAAACTCACAATTGTGATTTACGTATGGGAGCTTTTACATTGGGAGTCAATCGTGTTGCAAGAGCTACTGTTCTTAGAGGTTGGGAAGCCTAAGAACCCAACCAATCAAAATAAATATGAAGCTCCACTTTAATAAAACGAATGTGGAAGGTTGATTTTAACATGTTTTATGATGTTTTCACATGGGCCTTGAGTCCGGTAGTCTTTTTTTTTTTTTTAACTTTGTTTTGTTTTCTATGTTTGCTCATTTTGTAATGGTTTTTGGGAAGTTTATGTGGAAGTAGCAACTTGTGAAACTATGTTTATATTTGGAACTTCCAAGAATGTTTTATGCATATGGAAGAGTTTTATGAGTACAAATAATTTATATTATGTTTTGAAAAAACTTTTTGTGTACTTTTTTGTTTGGACCAACTTTTTTTTTTGGCTAGTAATTCGTATGTTCTTTGTGTTGATGATGATTATGATTATTATGTCCTTAATCGTTTTCAACATTAAACTCTGAATTAGAAATTTGATTTTTTCCAAAATGAGGAGAAAGGATTTGTGTATAACTTTTGTCGGCAAAATACATATCAAAATATATTTATTGAATGATTGGAGATTATAGTAGAATAAAACAACGGTCTAAGTTAGTTTGTATCTTAGACCACTTGGAGTTCGAAAGTTGTCTTTCTGTTTGATTTTTAAATTAAAGCTAAGATGTCAAGCGTGTTCAGACCATTGGTCTTTCACTTGCTATAATCTCCAAGCATCTTGTAAAAGATATTTTGATATGTATGTTGCCAACAAGAATCGAAGATGTGAATTATTATGCATTTTGTAAACAAGAATGTTGGGATTAACCGCATTTTATGTGTCGCATCTATTTTCTTACTTTTGAAGGACATTTAAACATTCATTTTCAAAATTATAGTGAAAAAAAATACCTCCTATTCAATATCTCTATGGGGTAAAGAAGGTTCGAAATAAATAACAAAAACTTTAGTTTTGTAACTTTATTAAAAATGAAAAAGAATCCATGTCCTTTTTTCAAATAAAGTATATAAATTTGTTGAGAATGTAAGAAATATGATATTTTGGCAATACCAAGACGTATTCATATACCTAATAGGATAATACTGCATTTTTCCCAATACTTATAGTGATTCTATTTACTTTGTTCGTTGGATTCTTAGGAATTTCTTTCAATCAAGACGTTGATATATTATCCAAATGGTTAACCCCCCGTCTATAAATCTTTTACATAAAAATAGATTGTATATGCATTTTGTAAGCAAAAACCGGACATGTGAGTCATCATACATTTGCCAATAATAATAAGACATGTGAATTATTATACATGTTTACAAGCAGTCTAAAATACGAAGGCATCTTAAATTGTTGTTCTTCACCTGCTACAATCTCATAATGAACTTGATTGTAATTATATACATTTTTTCAATTATTACTAATTATTAAAAACAACGGAGTTATGCTATCATTTCTATAAAACATCCAACTTAGATTTTTTATAATTATTTAGGCATCATTCTTGTGAAAATCTTTGACAAGCATTACGACTTGTGAAAATACATAAATCTAATCAAAACATAATTAACAATGTGGTAAAAGACATTTATTCATACATAAGAAAACTTAAAGTCAAGCTACATAATTCTTTTAAAAAATTGTACTAATTCTTATAAAGAGAGTACATATAACCTACAAAATACAAAGTCTCAAATCCATGAGTCTCTCAAACATACATCAACCAAAGTACAACCTAACAAAATCACGTAGGAACAAGATTAAAATCCTCCTGTAGATCTCCAACCAACAAGAAACAAACAATCACTGCAAACAAAGCAACAAAACCAAACACAAATCTATAACCAGATAACCAAACTGTTGCTTTAGTTTCAAGAACTAATTCCCCTTCATGTGTAATGACTTGAGTTGAAGACATTGATTCTGAAGTAAGATTATCCTGTTCATCATCTTCATGAGTGACACAATCACTAAGATCACTCACAACAACATTTTCATCAACATGCTTTCTTGGAGTTGTGTACATCTTAACATTCTCAATATCCATATAAGATCGAGCTCTCTGTAACAAGATTTTAAAAAGCATAGCATAAGATAAAGATAAACCGATTAATCAAGATTCAAAAGAAAACAAGATCAAATATTCAAATACCTGAGGAGTAGGAGTAACAATTCTTGAACTTTTCTGAAAGAATCCTGAAAACCCATCTTCATAATCTCCTTCATCTTCACAAAACCCGTTTTCATTAACACTTTTGTTACTTGAAAACAACCCATCTTTCAAAGAAACATCCACCACACCATTGTCATGACTCCAAAGCTTTCTGCTCACACTTTTTGAAGAGTCAACAACTGAAACGGGTGAGTCAACCATGGAAGTATACCCACCGAATGAACCCATGGTTTGTGATTCAGGTGATAAAGTGAAATCAGATTCACCCTTTTTACCATTTTCCTTAAATTTCGAACCTTTTTCAATCAAGATTCTCTTTGCTGTTTCCATTGCTTCAAAGGCAGCACCTTTAACATACGCCATTTGATCACCTTCACCTTCACACTTCTCCATTTCTTCAATTACAAAGTTAAGTTCAGACATTATGCACTTATAATCCAAACACTTCATAAGAAAATTAATCATTTGAATTGCAACCAATCGTTTCTGAGAGTTCCCCTCTGAAGCACCCGTATTCAATATCGTAACACCCGACCAAATCAACAATCTCGCATAAGCTTCAACAACTAAACTGTTATGTTTAGCGAGAGACATAACTAACCCCATATGTGAATTACTCTGCATGGGTTTTTCCAAAGCCCCAACAACTCTTTGACATACTTCATTCACCATTTCACTTGAAGCAAATCGCCAATTATCAGAGTCAACAAGAGCTTTTAAACAGAGAGCAGCACCAGAAGATAAACTTTCTTGATTAGCTAAAAGGGAATCGGAAAGGGGTTTACAAAGGGAATGAATGATTCGTCTTTTTTTGTCATCTGGAGTGGTGGGGTCGATTCCGTATCTAGCGATGGCGGGGACTACCTTTGAGCAAGCTTGATGAAGAGCGAAAGATGTTACAGTGGATTTTAAGGTCTTAATAATGGTGGACATGATGTTGTCGATTTGGGGGACAATCTTTGTGCCATGAACACGAGCAAGAGCTTCGTAAAGTGAGATTGTGTATTCACCTGAAGTTGTTCCGGTGTCATTGGTTTCGGAAACTTGAGCAAGAAAGATTGGAATCGCCTTTGAATCCAAATCTTTGACGTAAGATTTCAATGCTTTCATGGCTGATTTCCTGCTATCGGCGTCTTTATCGAGATTTTCAAGTTCTCGCTTAACCACAGGACTCAGATTTCTTCCCATTCAGTTCACTGTAAACGAAAACCAGACAACAACATCAAAAAATGCAATCAGATACAACACAATCTTTGAATTAAGTGAATTATTAACTCTTGTTCTATCAATTAACGCAAATAAGAAGATAACTAGAGCAATGAAGACCCAGAAGTTCATTTCTCTTTGTGGGTAAACGAAATTGGAATTACAAATTTACAATCAAACAAAAACCCAAGAATTCTCTTACACGCTAGTGCAAAAATCGAAAAAACATTCGGATTTTCATTCAATCGAGTTAACACATTACAAGAACACAAAATTATCAACATTGGTATAGTATCGAGTAGTACCTGTGTGAGATGAAAAGGCTCTTGATGCTAACTTCGACTTAATCGCTCATAAAAACACAAAACAATTAAGAAATGAAGAAAATGGGTTTCTGCTTTTTGACATGAATATTAAAGAATTTGTAATACGGATCGACTGTGTGTATGTAATTTGATGAAAGAAGGGTCTGGATTTTCTTGATTGGATAAATTGGGCACCGTGGATTCCGTGATACTGTAAGAGCTTAGCTGTCCGTTCAATTGACCCGAGTATTTTTCTTTCCCCCCATCGTATATAGGGCTTCCAAAGTAATTCAAATGTTTCCTTTTTCCCTCGTCTACTTTTGTTGCTTTGACTATTATACCCTCAGATATTTAATTTATATGTCTATTAGACAAAATAATATTTATGAGTATTTATTTGGGAGATTATAGGTTTGTTAGACAATGAGTTTTCTAGAGCTTTAAAAAAATGTTTGTTTGAAATACAAGATTAAAATATTTATTTTAAAACAAATAAATTATAATTTAAAAGTTACTTCAAAATAAGATGATTGATATCCAGATTAATAGATAAAACTAAGTTTATCAACAACCGGTCATAACAACAATTTCAGGATCTAAATTCATAAATTCAGGATCTAAATTCATGTGTGTCCAGCTTAAATGATGTGACAAAAAAACGGGTTATACTTTTTTTGTTATTAAGTCAAATTGTTAATAATTGGTGTGTTTAGCACGAAACATTTGAGAGCTTCTAGCTTTTAGAGTTCGATAAAACGCTTAATTCTAAACAAAAAAATCTCATTTGGCACTACAAGTTTTTAGTTTTAATTTAAGCAAAACGTTTCAAATGTAAAAGCTATTTCACGTAACATTTAACAAAACATTACCAACTTGTTTTGCCGAACATGCCCAATATCATTTATACAACTATACCATTAACTTTAATAGCAAAAATCAAACATAATTTAATAAATACTAGTAAATGTTTTACATTTGTTTAAACCAAGGGCTCATATTAAGAAAACAATCTATAAATTTAACATTGTTAATACCAGGTAACATATCTTTCTCAATATATGACATTAAACATTCATTTATAAATCGATGTGCAAATAATTTTTTATAATATTCATTGTTAAAAATTGATCACTCATCTTATTCATATATTAAATTGACCAAACTCTAAACAACAATACAATATAAAAACTAAAAAAATTATCAAATCAAGACAAAAATCTAAAATACAATAGATGAAAATTTAATCGTCTAATTTATGATCTATATTTTACTTTATATTGACAAAATTATAAACAACAATACAATATAAAAAACTAAAAAAGTTATTAAATAAGACAAAAATCTAAACCACGGCAAATGAAAATTAATCACCTAATTTATCATCTCTATCTAATTTATCATCTCTATTTTTACTTTATAGTTTATGTCATGCTATTAATCTCAAGAACATGTTAACAATAAATTTTTTTTTCTAGACATTAGGATAGGTTTTGACTT